GCTACACAGTCGCAATCGGAGACTCTCAGTGAGAGGCGTTGAGGGTGAGACGAAACTTATCTGTGTCGTCGGTCAAGCTGTGGCATTGTCACAGCGAGTCACAAAAGTCACAACCGATACATTCGGTTTAAGAGCGAAAGGAAAGTAGACACGCTCTCTGCCTACTGCGGTTAGGTGAGTACGCACAGAACCAGTATTGTAGGCGACATTGAACATTGGGCCAGAAATTGTAACCCATACTATACAGACTGTAAGAAGTCTAATAATTGTCTGTTTGATATAAATAAAAGTGCTATATATAGCTTAGTGTCTTGAGAGGGTGGTAGACCTCATCAATTAGCCAGAAGCATCCTTTAAGGTCAGCGAAAATGTCCGGCAAGCACGAGTTCTGCCCAGGAGAGAAGCGGGTGATGGTGAACAGCTACGAGTATTTCAAAAGCCAGAAGGAACAAGGCCTCTTCAAAGGCATCAGGACACGCCAACTGGTCTCTGATTGCCTTGGTTGTGCTCCCAACACCGTTGACTCCGTGGCTAATGAGAAAAAGAATAACTTAGACACTTATTTTGAGGTATATCGATTATAACTGATATTGTAACATTTCCTTTTCAAACTAATATTTGTACAAAGCCCAGAAGGAACTAGAACAGTAGATGATAAAAACAAAACAAAATCCATGTATAATACCTTTATAATTTGTTTCACCATCCTGCTGGCAGAATTGAATGTTAAATCGACAAGGGCAATCTGCGACCGGGCGATGTGTCATCTTCCTTTTTGACATATGATTTTGATTCTAGACCAATCATACCTGTGGATTTGGCGCGCCTTTCCCCCCGAAAATGACAGTGTTCTGAGAGGGCATTTTAAACGACTGTAGCTCCAAAACGGCTGGGAATTGGCTAAAAATTACCACAAAATCGAAATCTAAACGCATGATTGCACCCTATATCTAAATGTCGATATAGGTTTTCCTAAATGCAGACCTCTTATGCCTTTCTAGATTCTGGCCCAATGTTCAATGTCGCCTACAATAATAGAGGTCGACAGTTGAGCGTTTGACAAGCAAGTGTGAAAACATGTTTTGACATTCTGGGAGAGGGGGCGAGGAGAGAAAAGTCACGAGGGGGTGCCCCCTGTGCAGCCATTTATTCCAAAATTTGCTGATGACAGCTAGCACGTCTCTCGCCATCAAGAACAACACTGCGGTGCAAGGTAAATACCAGGCTACCAAGTATTTGCTAACCAACAACTAGCGCGTCTCCAGAAAACATCGGACACCAGATTGATCCCTACGGTACGTGCCGCCCTCTTTATTCTAACCAACGTGGTGGAAAACAGCTTCGCCAGCACAGTGCTGCGTCTGACAGCTATCGAAGAATCTCTACGGTCTACACACACGCTTATCAGCTCGCTTGTCGGCGGGCGATTTCAGCTCGTCTTAGCTCCTGGCCAGGCTGGACAATCCAGCTAACAGGCGGAGCAATTGGACGAGCCCGTGCCCTACCGTATTGCTCGAGGATTGAAGTCCGTGATTGAAGTATGGACAGAGAACACGAAAGGCGTTGCAGAGTGAACCCCCGTACAACAAGTCGAAGTACGTCCCGGCGCGAAATGGCGTTCAAGTGATTCCGAGCGTCAATATTTCAAACATCGCATGGTGTTTTACGATGCAGCCCTATTCCTAGCTGGAAGTGAGCACGTCCTCCCAGAAACCATAGCGCAAGTATTGGAGACGAAGCACAAAAAGATGAGCCTCACATCTGACGCGTTGAGGAAAAAGCTGAGCGGCAAAGGCGGAGCGATCGCAGACTTTCAAGGTGCATAGTATTGAGCTTAGCCTCACCCAGAATAACATGATATCACAGCAACATTCAATAACACCGTTTAACAATATGAATAGCATTAAATAACACCGGAGTTTTTTTAATGCTGTCCAGTTGATGTTCTTAACATCTGTTGATAAATATATACCCTATCGTGCACCGTCCCCCCATTCCAAAAGATGGCGCGGACGAAGGCACACTCACAGCCGTCGAGGGCCTCGCAGGTTTTTCGCTGGGAGTATCCGCTGCGGGGCGAAGCAACGGGAAATGAGTGGCTATGCGGTAAGCGCCTCTCATACGGGGACTTCAGGACGCATATCATAGGTCACGTACAAGGAACAGGTAAATTGTGAAAAAAAAGAAATGTATGACGTTTATGGGTCGAGCGAAAATCGTACGGACGAAGATCGTTTAGCCAGGATGGAGCTCTGGCTTCACATATTTGCCGAGAAAGCTGGCGATTGCCTCGAAGAAGATGGAGGGAACAGCGACGATAGCGCTGTTAGCATGCCTACCAGCGCTACACGAGCCGAAAATCCACCCGCGCCTATCTCGCCTGCTGCTGCCTCGCCACCGCAGACAGCTGACGACCCGCCGTCATCCAACGAGCCATCTGCGGAGAGCGAGCTAGCCATCACCGAGCCAGCCGTCACCGAGTCGCCCAAGAGTAAGCGCCGTGTGACCAAGCGGGGTGCTCTAGCGAAGAGGGCAGCCAAAAAGCCCCACCGCTCTACCCACAACAGCGCGAAACAGAACCAGAAATACTAAAGCATAGGACACTTTTGCATAATCACATCGAATCACACTGTTTAACAGCTGGGACAAATAATATGATTTGACTTGATTTGACAGGATTATGCTAGATTGTACCTCGGTACACTGTGCACCTAATCTGGTACACTATGTATCGCTGGCAGGTCACGGAGGTATTGCCTTTTGTATTGTGATCACAGGTCGTGAGTCACGACTCGTGACCCGTAGCAAAAAAAGCTCGACACATCCACTGTATCAGACCAAAGAATATATGTACATTGTATCATCAACAAGTTAGTTTGAAATCCAAATTTTTCATAAAATACCATTCCATAAAGCTAATAGACGCTTATAGTTTTCCCGCTAGACATAACGGACTCGCGTTAGAGCACGGATATGACAACGCCACGACAATAGCCTACAGCACCGATCTGAGATACAGGTCTCATTGAACCTGTAAGAGATGGCTCGGTAGTTAAAGGGTTAAAGTTCCTCAAAG